GATTCGTTGTTGCAGCCCTAATTATAACATTACAATGATAAACATAACATTAAGGATCATCGCTAACAGTATTTTGTGAAGGATAAAACAACACTTATCAGTAACAAGAACAATTCTTAAGTTGCTGGATCAACATTTTTTTCTTCCACAGGATCATCTTCACTCACCTACATCCGAGGGAGCTTTACCTATCAACTCACCAAAGAACTGGACAATATTAGAAGTCAGAAGAATAAACTAGGTAAGTGTTTGTATTCTATGTCAAGTCTGATGTATAGTCTTTTTAAGACCTTGAATTACCACTGCGATGTACGCCAAAGACATTAGATTTTTACATATTGCTGACAGGCAGCTGCTCCCTCATCTGCCTTAATTTCTTAATTTGGACTTGGATCAGACCTGCCTGATAATTTTCCATCCATTTTAGGGTATTATAAATGAAGGCAGAGCCTTTTGGGGAGCAGTGTGGCGGAGAAAGGAGAGCACAAAGGCACTTAGGATATTGGACAAGATGCAAACTTTATATTGTAGCAAGCCTTTTAGTGATGTCATTAATTTAGAAGGATGGTGCATATAAAATGCACTTGGCAAACTTCTCGGGCAGGCAGACTGAATACACTTTGGGAATACAGAGAACTGACTGTTGGTTTGCAATAGACAAAGACAATCAATATGCCAGAGATATAAGGGCAGTCATACACACATATTGTAAGAGAACAGCGGATGTTACAGCCACAGAGTGCATGAGGTTTACAAGCTGTCAGTAGCGTCTACAAACATGACTGATCAACTGCTGAAATACGACGTTGATATAAAATTGAAATGTTTCATCTGGCTTGGAAGAAAGTCACGTTGGTTGCCCACCACACTCTTAGAAGTTGAAACCAAAATATAAATCACAAAATTAATTTCACTGCGTTTTATTTCATCCAAGATTTATCACTGTTTCCGCTAATTAAGGCAATGATGAGTGCGGCTGATTAAAGAGGAAGAGCATCGTTTTTGATGGTTATGAGATGTGTATTACCTGGAGGTGGTGTGGTTTCAGTCACAGCTGAGATGTGTTTCGCTTGCATGCTTACAATATGATTTCACCAAAACAAACATTACAAACCATCAGTCAGATGTTGCAGGGTTTCAGATGTAGAAGTTTATCTGCTTAAGAAGAGCCTCTTGTGTTCAAAAACTGGGGTAGCTTTTGGCACAGAAAGGATTGTGGAACAACTTTCACATATGATTTATGAAACATTTGTTTATACCAGCAGGTACCAACGTATGTCAGGGGTTTATAAATCTAGTGGCTGATAACAGAAGCAGTTTAAGTGTTTCCACACCCCTATTTAATCAATGCTTTGATGAGCTCTCCCACAACATGCAAAACATTAGATGCATAAGCAGGGAGAAATAAAAAAAGCAACTTATTGGTTTGCATCTCAGGTTTTTAAATTAAAGTTGCACCACACAGGACACATACAAAATAGATTTGTTTTTCATACTTCAGGGTACAAAATGAAACCTGATATTCTAGTGCAGCTTATCTATTTAATGCCCAGTGCAGTCCTTTAAAACTCAAAGTCTTAAAGTTTCTCAGTGATTTACTGCAGATTTCTTCCGGTTGATACATGTAGGCCTGAAACAATCGGAGTAATTGTGTTCAATTGATTATTGAAATAATCGTCAACTAATCTAGTAATTGATTAATTGTTAACTGGAGTATAGAGGCTCTAAAACATGCTTTTAGCTGACAGAATGACAAACTTAGAGCAATGATTATATCAAAATTGTAAAAAAAAAAATGCATACACATATTGTGTTTAAGATAAAAAAAAATATATATATATTTTTGTCTCCTCAAGTGGAAAATTTTGAGTTTCGCCAGGTTTAATTTCGTGAAAATTTCTTTAAGGAACCTCTGGCTATCTGATTATTATTTTAATTAATCAAAAAAATAATCAACAGATTAATTGCTTTGCAAAATAATTAGTTATGTAGTTTTAGATCTAGCTATATGGCATCTTTACTATGGTAACCTAAGCCACAGCATTATAGCAGCCTGTGTCCAAATAAAAGTTTTCCTGATCTCCCTCTGAGAGATCCTGCTGTTGAAAAACTGACCAAAAACATTTGTTTAGATGCTAGTTTTCCCCTTTTTAAGTGCAGTTCTCGAGCTGATCATAAATTTATTATGACATACCCTGGAATGCCATTTTGATTTTATGGTGTAGCTTAGTGATGTGCAATGGTAAACTATATTAGGCCCCTGTCATGTGTTATTAATGATTTCCAAAACAATCAGGTCTAATGAACGAATTCTGGCCTTAGTGACCAAAGTTTATCTCAAAGGAAAAGAAACAAAACAGATTCAATTTAATTCTCAGATTTAGTTATTTTTGACCATTTTTCATAATTAGCACAACAACAACCCACCAAGATCTGTTCTCCATTGGTAGAGTAAGAACAGATCTTACTGCATTTTGTTTTAGCTGGATGTCTGGAAGTTTTTACCTTTTTCGTATGACTTTCGATTATTCCAAAGAAGAAAGAAGTCAACTAAAAATGAACCCCACTAGCACCCATGAGCAATAAAATGTGAGCGATTTTGAATTTAACACACTTGTCATAAAGATGTTTTAAAAAGGATTCAGTATAGAAATCTAAAAGGTCCATTGATTATTTAGAAATGTTTCCATAAAGTGGGTGGGATGTGTAGATTTGAGATGATCTGGTCATATTTCTCTTTATAAAGACAAATCAGATCCCCCCTGTGTGCAATTACAGTAGACCAACAGCCGCAGACAGCTAATTCAACAACATCACTGTGGTCATAGTCACATTTCATGGTCTCTGTGCAACTGGTCAACAACCAATGACCCATAGCCAACATTTGTACTATAAAATTTTTTCCAACCAGCTTTAGGAGCAAGCAAGCCTCCCTTATTGTTTATGTTGGTTTTAATTTTCAGAGTACACAAAGAAGTTTTTAATCAAAAGTATCTTATAACCTGAAATCACTTCAAATATTAGTTTACTACTATAGATGAATGGTTCTGTTATTCATAATGATTTCCTTTGTTTCATTGAGTTCACCCTGATCTAAATTTGTGCACATGACTGACTCTTGGATTTGAGTGTATCCTAAGGTCAAGGCCGAATTCATTAATCCTGAAAAGAGCGTAAAAATAACTCTACACCTATTTTTGTCCCTTACATGTTTGGTATATAATATTTATGACGGTTAACTCTCCACTTTGCTGTACCTCAGAGAGAAGAAAGAAAGCATCAGGATGGGAGAAGAACTTGTTGTATCCCATAGTAATGCTGATCCTGCTCGCAGGAACGGTAAGTGCTGAAGCTGACCTGTCATTAGGCTCTGTTTGCTCACGGCGTATGCAACCTGGCTGCTGGCCACTGGAACTAAAACAGTCACCTTCAAACTCTTCTTTCCCACAGAGTCTGGGTGGAGAAACTACTTTTATCTAATAGTTGTTTTAAACAATGCTGATTAGCTGCCTGCAATAACTGGGATTTTCAATAAATTACACAGTGAAAAATACTATTTATGCCAACTTATACCACTAGAAAAAGCAAAGCGGCCATGTGTGTAGCATGGCACGTGCGTCACACTCCTGCGTACTTCTTATTGTTCGGCCTATTTTAAGCTTTATTTCGGGGCTGTTTCTAATCACAAAATAGTGATTATACCTTACCATCCCTGCAAATCAGCAAGTTAAATATATTGTGATAGCAAATTCTGAGAAAAAAAGACCAATTACCCTCTACGCTATATGTCAACAAATCTATATCTTCCTCTCTGTTTGCAGACGATTTCTGTTATTATGGTGGCCCTGAACATTCTCTACCTTCTAGTGGATGAGACGGCCATGCCCAAGGGATCCACGGTAAGCCCTCTGTCTAACTGCAGGACTCCTTTAGCTTTTTCTCTCATACTCACCGGCACACACCCAGAATGTAAACTGCAGAGGAGCCTGCCTATGAGACTTGCCATGTCCTCGGCTGAGACATAAATCAAATTCCGGATATGCTCAGGTGCTGTGGAAAAAAAGGAACCCAAAGAGATGGTAATCTGTATCAAAACCATGTGTTACTGGTTTTGTTTTTTGAAGTTCATTCAGAGTCATTTCACAGCAACCTGCAGGGTCAGTGAGCTTGTTACGTGTTTCATGTCCACAGTGATTGAAAAAGCTGCCTCTCCTTGTTACTGCAAAGTCAAGCGGGGCCAAGCAGAGGGAATCTGGTGTGAGTCTGATAGAGTAGAATGACTCTTAGAGATTTACATCTTCACTTAACAAGCGGACCTGTGTTAAGCTTTCTGTATCTCATCCCCACACGCAGCGGTGCATGCATGTGTGCTCTTACGTGTATGCGCGTGTGCTTGTGGTTGCATTCTTGTCTGGGAAGGGGCAACATTATGTATCCTATTTCTACCACATTATTCTTCGTCTGGCGGGCATCTGAAAGAGCTGCCCTCCACATTCCATTTATTTTATTGAGAGGATGTTTGCTTTGGCTTGACGCATCTGTGAAAATCCCCCTAAATTACACTCGTCATGTAGCTTGAAACTGTCCTCCCTTAACGTTTGGCTCAATTAAACAGGTCATGCCTCTTTTCAACTGGATGGATGCCACACGTCTGATCTAATCTCATAGGACCAGTAGAAGGGGTGTGTCGTCTTTTTAAACAATCAATACTGATATGAAATCCATCTGTTTACCTATGTAACCTATACATTAATCCACTCTGCCCCTCTGGCACAAAAATTCCCTCTGCCCAAAGTTTAATAGTTTGTAAGAAATGAGGATGGTGGAAAGAAAGTTGGGAAACATCTGGTTTGACATCTGGACAAGCCACGACCCGAGCAGCGACTCCGACTGTGGGAAAGTCAAATGAACCCCTGATATGCTAATTGTTATACGAAGAGCACACAATGAAAATGCCCCGTCAACGTTTGTCTTCCTTTCCAACTGAGCATCCTACTGCAGTCTCTAGCATACAGAGCAATGTCCTGCTCAGCTTTACAGAACAGAAGAGTAAAAAGAGAAAGAACCAGAGAACATGCAAAGCTGTCGCTACTTCTATTAAAGGAAGCAGTATTTTATGGCTGTGTGAACCAACTCTTTGAGGGGGACTAGTAAAGATGTTATTGCAGCTCTTTTCCTTTGGTAGCTATCACACTGACATTGTATTTTATTACAATGGGCAATAAGCTGCAGGTTTATGGCTGTTTCTATCCAACTGCATTTGGTCTTTAAAAAATGAAAATTTTAATATCTTGGTTAAAAATATCTTTTTTAACTGGAACATATTCAAAGATCCAAATAAAAACACGGATTTGTCTGCTCTGTTTTCAGGGTTTTCAAATATTTTTGAATGCTAGTGTATACATTTATTATTAGTTGAATCTGCAGCTTGTAGCCATGGATGTGCGATGGTGGGTTACAGCCTACACACACCGTATAGTTAATAATGCAAGCTATAAAGCTGCTGATTATTATGGCCTTGCTGAAGTCAATAATGGAACCTTTTGGAGTTGTCTTGAAAGTCTGTCACATTGCAAAAAAATGAAATGACAGGTTGTTTTTTTCTGAAAATAAGGGTGTTTTCCTTGAATTGAGTAGTTAAGTGACAGACTGCCAATGCACTGCAAAAAAAAATGATTAGAAATAAGTAAAAGCTTTCTAAATTAAGTGTAATTTGAGTAGGTCAATAAGATGATTTGCCAATGGAATGAGTATTTTTAGTCTTACAATAAGATAATTAGATGATATGCACTTGAAACAAAACGATGCAATTGATTTTTTTTCTTATTTTTAAAAGTACATCATCTTCTTCCATTGGCAAAGTGTCTTAATTATCTCCTCAATTCAAGAAAAAATGCACTTCTTTTTAGAAAAAATTACCTTTTTAGATATAAATTTTTTTGCCATCTGCAACAAAACCATTTACATTTAAAATAAACAAATAACATGGTTCTGTCTTATTTCAAGCGCATATTATCTACTTATCTTATTTAAAGAGTGAAAATACTAATTCCATTTGCAAATCATTTTATTTACCTACTCAAATTAAGAGTAAATGCACTTAATTTAAAACATTTTTACTTATTTCTAGATAGTTTTTGCAGTGCACAACTTGGACAGACGTCAAACCGTATTTGGTAACATTGTAGTCACCAGAAAAAAAAATCAGTTGGATGTGCAATTTGCTGATGTGCTAACCCCCATTAGCAATATCAGCTACTAAAAATATTATATGTCAGCTACAGATGGTGAATGTTTCACACTTCATGTCCAAAAACATGAACTACCCCTTTAAGGTTATCAGGGTTTTCTATGTGTTACTAATCTGAAAGTTGACCATGTGCTTGTTTGTTTTGTTTTTAAATACAATATGGTTATTGTGATCTTCATTTTCTGCTTGGCTAATTGTAATCTCAAATGTAAACATGGGTAACATGTTTACATTTACATGGCCTGAGACTCTGTAAAAAAAACTTCTGCAGCAGACATGGTCAGTTGCACACAGATACAATCACTAAACAATTTATTCAATTAATATATAATTAATTACAATGGGCATCCCCATTTCTTAACTCTGTCTGAAGAGTAAATGCCACTCTGCAGCCTGAAACCATGCTGAACTGTACCACACCTGATAGTTGGTATGTATGAAAAGCTAGTTTATGTAAATGTGTAAATTGTCGCATTTAATATATATAAGTCACCATGTTTACCATTCCTGCAACCATAAAGACATCAGGTTGCTAAGCTAGCTATGTAATGGACTAAGAACTCTGCAGTGTGGCATTGCAGTAAGCTAAGAAAGATGACAGTTGCATTTGCAGGCATGAAACAACGTGCCAGACAGGAGTCTTTTGTTTTGTTTTGTTTTGTTTTTTTCTTGAAGGCTGTTTCAGAAAACAGATCAGACTAAGAAGACTTAAAGGGAAAGTCTACTGATCATAAAAACATGAATAATAACAAATACGACTCGGACGGAATAAACTTTCAAATGTTTAAATGTAAAAATGTTTTCCAGGATTATGTTTATGCAAAATTCAACATACTGCAGAAAAATGTATTTATTACATCTTTTTTTTTCTCTGTAACAGTAAGAGCAACTACATTTTTGCTTTTGTATTGTAGGTATTTTAATTTCACTTTTGAAAAGATTGAGTTCAACTTTTAAACTACTTGGCTCAATAAAGTAATTAAGGTATGAGCTATAATTTGTTATTGAAAGATTAGTTCTTGTGCCAAGTCTAACAAAAGCAAATATTAATCAAATAAAACACTAGCTTGAAATGTTCAGAGAATATAGATGTTTGTCTTTGTCTTTTTCAAAAGATCTTTAGTTGGGGAGGGGGGCTTGTAGAGTATTTGCTTAAGTATTTGTTTAAGTTGTTTCCATGTTTTTGGCAAGCTCTCAGCCTGTCTACGCTTCTTACCGTAAGCAATATGGTGTTTTTGTTTGAACACCTGTTCACATATTGTGTGATGAACAGCGATTTGGAAGGAGCCTCTTTCATCCTCTTTCATTTATTATTTAGTGAGATTGAATTACTTTTTTGTCAAGTTGGAAAATTCCTTGTGCAATATATATACCTCCTGAGATAATGTGAACTAGTCCCAGTAACTAGTGCTATCATAAACCTTTTGTTTGGATTTAGGATGTTTTTTATGTTTAAGTGATGCTATATGACTGCTAATACTGCATTGTTTTTTTGTTGTTTTTTTTTTTGTTTCTATCGTCCAGGATCGAGGAATTGGGAACACATCCTTGTCCACATTTGGCGTGGTTCAGGCAGTGCTGGAGATCATCCTCATGTTGTATCCTTCAAGTGACCTCCCTTTTGTCTGTTGTATGCTCCATGACCAAAAGCAGCACCACCAAGGCAGCTTTGTTTGCTTAGGGCATAGCTCAGCCAAACACCTTCCGGGAGCATTTTGTGTTGTTTCATCACCTTTTATTAAAGTTGAAAAGAAGCAATCCTGGAAAACATGTGAAAGACTTAAGAAAACGTCTTTGCTGCAAAGTGTTGTTGGTCCTTGATTGATTTGTTGAACAGCTACTTGATGGTGTCTTCCGTCGTTGGATTCTACAGCCTGCGTGTCTTTGAGGGATTCACTCCCAGGAAGGATGACACAACCATGACAACGGTAAAGATGGGCTGAAGAGGGAGTGAAGACGCTGAAATTACCCCCAGAGGTTCTGATATGTTTTGGGGCTCCTTCTCTTTGTCCGTTTTTTTTTTCTCCTCCATCAGCTTCCTTTTTCCCTGAATCCCTAAGGCTTCCCAGCGGTTTCTTCAAGGTTTTACAACGGCTTTCCTCAATGTGTCCAATATTTGTTTGTGGGTTGTGTAAACACTGACAAAGTGCAAGCTCCTTTCTTATACATCAGAGGAAGAATGGGTTTTTAGGGGGTTGAGGATGTGTGCTCTGTTCAGCCTATAGTGGCACCTTTTCACTTGGTAATGAGTTTGGGAGTGGCGGAGCTTGTTAACTAGCCATGACGCTTTAGTGAAAGGGCTTGAAAGGACAATGGAGGGAGCCTGGTAATGAGCAACTTCAGAGGTACTAATTGTGTAATATGTGGAACCAATTTAACATCGAGTGGGGTGTATGTGTGTGGGCACATCAGCACTGGAACTGTCGAAGTGTTTTATTTCTCCACAAATAAAGTGTACATTATGTGCTTGAGCGACCTGAAAACTAAAATGGGACAATTTTCTTATTTTTAGATCATTGGCTGCTGTGTGTCCATCTTGGTCCTGAGCTCAGCTCTACCTGTAATGTCCAGAACTCTTGGTAAGTTTGCTTTTGTACCAGTCTGTTTTTGTCTGCTTGTATGAGGAACATTTTATGAATTAAAAAGGTGAATTGGATTTTTCATCTGAGCATCTAAGTTTATACGAAACAGAGACTGACTGACAAAGCTTCATGTTTCTAAACTTGCTTGGTATTATTTAACCAGGAAAAAATTAAGTTTACATTTTTGTGTCATTCTAAGAACAACTTTTAATAATTTTCTGTTAAGAAAATGTTAATTTGCACGTTTTAAAGCTGCTTTTATTTAGATTTTCATCTACCTGATGACCTGACTGTAAACAATATGGTGCTTTAAAAAATAATCTATCCCCTTTCACTGTATGTTTTGTAATGTTGAAGTCACAGTACACTTTGTACAGTAGCTCATGGCCATTTCTCAATTCGCAAGAACGTGAGTACGGACTCGTGTCCTCGCCTAGTATGTTCTTGACAAGAAAACAGGGAAAGTATGGACTTGAGGAGAACGGGAGCATGTAGCATAAATATGGGTCAATTGGAACAGAAACGTACTTGTAACATCACCACACGCTTGGCTCGTCTGCAGCTGCATTTCACCTCCTGTTATTGATAATTCTCTAGATAATAATAAATCATTTACCTTTTTTCATTTAGTGGGGGAATAATAGTTTACACAGTCAGATAAACACAAATTAAATGAACATTTTGCCAGATATAACTTAAAACCACCATCAGAACCAGCAGTACTTCACACACGGCTATTCCCAGAGGACTGCTGTAGACAGGCTAAGAAATGCACAAGTAGACATATTGAGAAACAGCCCATGTTCTTAAAGAAATAAGACCACATTGTGATTATTTCAAGAATTCCTTTTTTAAAATAGAAGAGTAAATACTAGAGTAATCATCCATCCAGCCATCCACTTCCACTTTATCCATGGCCGGGTCTCGGAGGCAGCAGTCTAAGCAGAAATCCTCAAACTTCCTGATCCACACACGGCTCCTCCAGCTCTGGGGGGACCCCGAGGCGACACCAGGCCAGTTCAGAGACATAGTCCCTCCAGCGTGTCCTGGGCTTTCCACGAAGCCTCTTCCCAATAGGGACATGCCTGGAACACCTCCCAAGGGAGGCAACCAGGAAGCATCCGGAACAGATGCCCGAGCCACCTCAGCTGGCTCCTTTCGACATGGAGGAGCAACAACTCTACTCATAGCTCCTCCCGGATAACTCAGCTCCTCTCCCGATCTCGAAGGGTGTGCCCAGCCAACCTGCGAAGGAAACTTATTTGGGCTGCTTGTATTCGCTGTCTTGTCCTTTTGGTCATTACCCAGATCTCATGACCATAAGTGGGGGTGGGAACATAGATTGATTGGTAAATCGAGAGCTTTGCCCCCGACTCTGCTCCCTCTTCACAGTCCGATGCAGCGACTGCATCACTGCCGACGCTGCACCGTCTATCGATCTCACACTCCGTCCCTCACTCGTGAACAAGACCCCAAGGTACTTGAACTCCTCCACTTGAGACAAGAACTCTCCACACACTTGAAGAGGGGAGTCCACCTTTCTGCGGTGGAGAACTATGGCCTCGGATTTGGAGGTGCTGATCCTCATCCCAGCCACTTCACACTCTGCTGCAAACCGCGCTAGTGCATGCCAAAGGTCCTTGTTTGATAAGGCCAACAGGACAACGTCATCTTCAAACAGCAGTTTGAAGATGAGGACACCCTCCGGTCCCTGACCTCGCCTACAAATTCTGTCCATAAATGTATTGAACAGAACCTGAGACAAAGGGCAGCCCTGGCGAAAACCAACATGCACCAGGAACAGATCTGACTTACTGCCGGCAATGTGAACCAAGCTCCTGCTGCATTATTACAGAGAGCAGACAGCCCTTAATGGAGGGCCCTGGACCCCATACTCCCCGAACACCCACCTGAGGACCAGGAGGGACACTGTTGAACACCTCCAGATCCACAAAACACATGTGGGCGAACTCCAACGAACCTTCGAGCTTGGACAACTCCAACTCCATGTCTCCAACCTCCCTCGCGATCTGGGAGAATCTCGTCTGGAGGTTGAAGTTAAAGACCGTACTAACAGGTATCCACCAGACGTTCCTAACAGACCCTCGCAACTTAGGCCTGCCAGGTCTGACCAGCTCCCTCCCCTGCCAGCGAACTGAGCTTACCACCAGGTGGTGATCGGTTGACAGCTCTTCCCCTCTCTTCACCAGAGTGTCGGAGACACGCGACTGGAGATCAGATGCTACACCTACAAAGTTGATCATCAACCTCCGGCATAGGCTATCCTCGTGCCACGTGCGCTAATATATAATAAAATTTTTTATATAATTCAATTTTATTGTCATTACACTGTCACAAGTACAGAGCAATGAAATGAATTCTCTGCATTTAACACATCCCCTTGGGGAGTATTGGGCTGCCATTGTGCGGCGCCTGGGGAGCAGTGTGGGGTTAAGGGTCTTTGCTCAGAGAGCCAGAGTGGCAGTCTGTGGGAGTGGGGGATCAAACTCACAACCTCAAGATTCAAAGCCCTATGCCCTAACCGCTAGGCCGCCACTCACCCATTATGGACACCCTCGTCCTCAAACATGGTGTTTGTTATGGACAAACTGGGATTAGCACCGAAGTCCAATAACAGAACACCGCTTGGGTTCAGATCGGGGAGGCAGTTCATACAGATCACCCCTGTACAAGTCTTACTGTCGCTGCCTGTTTGGAGTTGAAGTTCCCCAGTAGAACAATGGAGTCCCCTGTTGGAGCCCCATTTAGTTCCCATCCCAAGCACTCCAAGAAGGCCAAGTGCTCTGCACTGATGTTGGGCCCATAGGCCGAGACAACGGTAAGAGACCTGTCCCCCCTGCAGCTCTGCTGCACCTCTCCCAAATTGTAGGTGACCGCAGACAGTGCCACAGACAGGAGGCCGGCTTGTTTTGTTTTTCTGATAAATCGAAAATGTCTGCATCAAGCTCATTGCGACACAATGCTGCGGGGAGTGTAACCAGCCCTTGAGATGGGCGGCAATGAGCCAGGCCACCCCAGCCTGCAGCTTCTCCCCTCAGGAGCTTTTTTGCCATGGGAGACCCTACCAGGGGCATAACGCCCTGGACCACATAGCTCCTAGTATCATCTGCTCACTCAAACAATCCCACCATGTTAAGATGGCAGCTGGCAGGGTGCTGGAGTAATTAATTGTTAAAAAATAGCATATTATAATAGCAACTTAGCACTTCAAAAACTGTGATGGGAGCGACATGTACTGTAAACATGGCTCCTATACAGGCATTTTCATATTCACTCTTAAATGTGAGGTCATTTAGATCCATTTTACTTACATTTCCTTCTGTGACACTAGACCAGAGTGCAAATAAAAAGGGTGAAAATACCCGGAGTGGCACCATCATAATGTCCGCAATAAACATGCAGAGCCCAGCTGTTTAAACTCTCTTCTGTGTGTTGGTATGTGTGTGTGTGTGTATGTGTGTGTGTGTGTGTGTGTGTGTGACTGGTTTGAGAATGGGATGGAGCAAACATACAGTGAGTCACAGAGAGCTTTACAAAATATCAACAGGTTCTGCTTTATGACGCTGAATAAATGAAAGGAATACATGACTGAGATGGAGCTGGAGAGGAAAAAACGCATTGAAAGTCGAGTGTGAAGCAGTGACGTGTCAAAAGAGTTTTGTGAGTTTTTGTGTACTTTTAGATGGGGGAAGACAAAGCTATGCAGGTTGTATGCCATCTTATTAGAAAGGTGGCAAATATGTTACATCAGCTGCATATCTTTACCCCTTCCCAGGGTTGGGGTTACTAACCTAAATTAACCTAAATGAATGAGCCAAGTTTGAGACAGAGAGTCAATGTCTCCTATTGATTGAAGTGAGGGTTGTTATGCAAAACTGAATATCTAAAGTTTTATTCTTGATTTCCCAGGGTGTGAGGAATATTAAAAAATATATAGTACATAAAGTACTTAAGCATTTTTCTCCTACTAACAGATTAACCCTTAAACATCTCTGGGAGTCCCTGATGGCTGTTACTAAGATGACAGGTTAACATGACAGGGTATAGGCTAAAAAAATCTGATGCATTGTTCCTACCATCAAAATAACTTTCAATGAGATGAAATGCTGGAATTACTTTTCTATAAGTTTTTCATCTTTTTGCACACTTTAACAAGCTGCATCTAATAAAAGAGACACTCTTCTTTGAGGAATATGGTGATAGTTAATAAAGTAAAATGAATGTTAACACTTTTTCAATATAATATCCAATAAATCAGTTTGTGGTTTCAAAATTCAATAGCAGGTTCACAGAGTAAAATGTTATGGATTCTTGAAATGTGCTGTTCTAGGTGGCTGTATATTGAATCTAACCCTTTCTGTTGTTTCTAAGCTACAGACACAATAGGCTAAGTCATTTGTGGCAATAGCTGGCGATTTAAGGATCCCTTCCTCTCTGTTACACTTGCAGTGCTCATTTTGCTAGCTCCCGAACCAGTGAATAGACAATTTGGGAGTTTTTTAATAAAAATGTTAGGGACTCGTACATCTTTAAAGTAAGACCTCTTCTTGAGAAATTGGATCACAATCTTGTTTTTTTCTGCTCAGAATAAAACCCCCTTTATAAAAGACAACTTGCATTAAAGAGAAGATGGTGACAGGAAGCTGAAGAAGCCCTGAAAGATTGTTTTGAGGTCACATTATGAATTATGAAGGAGACATTAGTGCAATGGCTAGCTGTATAAACCTCACTGTAGATGGCACCATCCCCACCATAATGATGAGAGGCCTCCCCAATAATAAAACCGTAATATCATGTGACCTGAAGGAACTACAAAAATAAGAAAAAGCCCCCAGTTATTGTGGAGTGTACAGAAGCAACTTAGTCAAGTTAAGAGAAAGTAGGAAGGCATACAGGAAGCAGCAGGAGAGCAAATTCCAGCAGAACAATATCAGAGATTTCTTGTCAACGATAAAGAAGGACAATGGCTTTAAGCAGGATCTGAAGTCTGGACAGAGCCAATGAACTAGACATTCTTCAAAAACATTCTTCTCTCCTGCACACAGTCAGACATCTGCCTTCATTGGACCCAAAGTTTCCCTGTCACACCTCAAATGTTTCATCTTGCACTTCAGCCATAAAACTTCTTACCTAAATGCCTGCACAGCAGTAGGCCACTCCTCCCAATGGTGCGAATCAAAAGCACAGGATAGATTTTACTGGAATGTGTAAGATTCAAGGACAAATGATGATTAATATTATTTAATGATTAATGTTATTTTGCAGCAAAAATAATATATGCCTTTTTATACCAAAAAATTAGACCATATTTTATTGATTCTATTTTTTGTTGTGTAAACTAGGATCAAATTAGGCTTACAGATGACATTGGTGGGAAAGGTTTCATGCTTCACTACGTTTTATACATTAAAACCAGTAGATATGTTTACATGTGCATTTCCCCGTCCAGTCTAAATCTTGGTTGATCAAAAGTTCAAAATCTCAGTTAACATGGACAGGGAATTGTCAGATGCTGTCGAGTTTAAGTTTTTTCCTTTCCTTAATTACCTTTCAATTGAAAAGAAAAGGATTGAATTATGTGTTGCACACACGCGCAGTGGAGATAATTTTACTCCAAAGATCTGAATGGGTGTGTACATAGATCCCAGAAGTGTAATTAACTTAATGCAATACTCTGATTACAAAGTGTTCCTTTAATTTTTTTTGAGTAGTTTATAATACAACTGGGACATTTTTTGACAAAGAATCTGTATTTAGTTTATCTGACTTACATAATATAAAATATTTTAACAGCAACAGACCATGATATAACCGATGAATGCCTCTAGGATGTGGAACCAGCAGCATGCAGATCTCTGCAACTCTCTACTAGGGATATGCTCTACAAAATTCAAAAGTCAATTTTTTAAACTCTAATCAGATTTTATCAAATTACCAAACTAGGATCAAAACCCTATGGTATTAGAAACAAATTTGGCCAGACCACAGTGGCTAGCTGTATTGACTGAGGTCTCCGTCATTTTTCTCCCTGCCTCTTCGCGGGCAATTTTGTTAAAGGTCTGTGATGCATGCCAAACTGCATACTGTGGCTGCAAATACATCTCTGCAGACACCGGATCGATAGCTCAATCTAATTGACGGGAGAGATCGTGAAGATGTTACAGGAGAAGTAGTGCCCAGAGACTGGGGCTTCTTCAGTCTGACACATCAGAATATGACTACTGCATACAAATTGTAGGAGAGATTGGGCAGTTATGAAACACAAGCTTAAAATGGTGGTTTGCTTGATCCCTTCATCATAATAAGTAAAGCTGTATTCTAATGACAGCCTAAGATGTGTTGTTAATCCTAATAACTTTCATTATTCTACTATAATAGGAGTCAGTATCATTTGTTTAAGGGTGCAATGAGAAAAATAAAAATATATGCACTGTTGTGGAAGTCTGGAGCAAGAAGAGACCTTCAAAATTAACTACATCTATCAGTTTGTCGAGGGTAGTCACCTTTAATGCCTTCCCACTCTCATTATTGTCTGCTTGAATGAGGTTTTTGTATTATATGTATTTTTATAGTGCCAAGCATGCATATCAAACTACAGCATTAGAGGTGTAAGTTAGTGAGTTAATTTTGGCATTTCCTTTTTTTTTCTCCTTTCATTTGCCTTGTTTATTGTAATCAGTATGATGTCAAAACAGTCAGACTTGTCTTATATGTTAGTGAGGGGTTAGCAGCATTCTTTAAGTTTGGGGAAAACTGGTCACTCAGCTTCTTTCGATGCCTCTCACTAATACAACTTTAAACAGTTGAAGCATAATGGTGAAAAATTCAAACACTTCTAAGAGCCTTGTTTTACTTTGATTCTATTGGGTGGGACATGACGTTTCCAAAACACTTTGAAAAAAATATGTGACACTTATGTTTGTGCTTTACAGGTATCACTAGGTTTGATCTCTTGGGAGACTTCGGGAGATTTAATTGGCTGGGAAACATCTACATCGTCCTCTCATACAACTTGCTTTTTGCTGTTGTGACAACTCTTTGTCTTGTGAGAAAATTCACTTCAGCAGTGCGGGAGGAACTCCTGAAGGCCTTAGGTAATTGCCTCTTAATCCTTTTTCTAACCGAACTTTAATGTTGTTGGTTTTTTTTATCCAATCTAAAACATAAACAACTCATTGTTGCATTTTAATATGAGAATGAGAATGTCGCTTAAATTTTCATTTTTTTCAGTGGTACAATTCTAAGTTACATTCATATTTAAAAGACACTATGCACACAGAGAGATATTTTCAAAACTTTTCTTCTTTTGATTGTAATGATGAAGGTTTATCAAGTAAATAATTAGTATTTCTATAGCACCTTTCACAGACATCAAAATCCTGAAGGTCTTCAAAATGATCACATCAAATACATTAACACAGCAAAATTCATTTACTCAGATGGTTGGCCTACATAATTATGGCAAAAACTGCAGACCTTGTCCTCATCTTGCAGATAGTTGATGACACTTTCTGCAGAGAAGGAAAGACAAAAAGCCATTGCTTAAGAAGCCAGCTCTTGAATGCTGTTTGCAAAAATATTAATGGGAAATAAAAAAAAAGTAAGAGTGTACAAGCAACAAGTATAGCCTCTGTCTTTAAATAACTCTGAAGCAAAGCTAATCGAAGACTTTGGGGAGATTTGCAAGATTTAGACTGCAGGTTTAGTCACTGCTTGAAGAGCATATCCTTGAGATGAGCTACAACTCTGGCACTCCTGTGTTGAGCATTTTCTGAACCATAGAAGACTTTAGGACCTCCATTAATGTTATCCCAGGTAAAGGTACTGGGCTGTTGTGCATTTGTCCTGATGAAAGGATGAACCTGTCTGTTGTTTGTAAATCAAGGTGGGCATAGAATCCAAGTTGCTTTGGGTCCATTGGGAAATTTCCATGGTCAGTAGATTGTTTTGGAGCCATGTAATTTACTCCTCGGTGTGTCACCAGGTTTTCCAGTAGCCTAGCAAAGACTCATTGTTTTCAATCTGGTGTTTGTACTGGAAAAACCTTGAAAAAAAAACCCAACAGCCATTGAGGACTGGCTTTGGGGACCACTGCGTGATAAATTATAAGGTATTATAAAAAGAATAGGAGTGATTCCAGACCCAATAATGCAAAGGAGCTAAAGGCTGATTTAAAAAGCATTCTGGGTTGCATTTAAACTAAAACCTTAACTAAGTAACAAATAGCCTTCATCCTTTGTTGCATTGAGGCAACAAATAATGCAAAACAAGCCAAATAACAGTGCAATGTATGGGTACACCTAAATAAGAATACAAAGTTTAATACTTCAGTAAAAGATACATAAATCCCAAACAGAAATTTTTAGAGCATTTATTTATTGCAGTTTTGATTTGATTTGATTTTTTTCAGATACTCATAATAATTGGGTGTAATTGGGTGTTGTAGTAACAAAGCAAACAGGCAGTTAATGCATACAGTGACACACAAGAAAGAATAATAATTATTTTAAAAACTTCAGGAAAAAAATACACTGTACATAAAAAAAATGGCAGACTTAGATTAAATTAAAATTGAAGACAACAATTGGGATCTATCAAAGAGGGTGAGCCAACAGAGACCATAGCTACATGAAGCTGGTTTATCTGGGATGTATCCAAGTATATTTACAGAAAGTTTAGTGGGAGGAAAAAGTGCGGTAGGGATAGTTGTCCCAGTACCAGTGAGAGCAACAGCCTTAAGAGGATTGTCAAGAAAAGTCCATTTAAGACTTTGGGTTGAGGTTCCCAGGCAGTAGACTGTAGCTGCAGTTGGTATTTCTGGAGCAACCACATTGCATTAAGTCTAATGTGAAGTTTGATTTGGGGTGCCATGCAATCTGCTGGTGTTGGTCCAGTGATGCCCACTATCTAGGAAGGATTAGAACACGGGATAAGTTCTGCTGAAAAGCCGTATAGAGATGCTGATTTCATTTACCAGTAGGACTTGGCACTAGCCTGGTACCGTGGTACCGTTACTGTGCTTGATTGGCCAACATAGTCTAGCGCCATGAATCCCTAAGGAGTTGATGGAGCATTTTCAAGAATGAGATGACAAACAACAGACTCCGCTATGCAGGTAAAGAGAAGGCAGCTATTAAAGCAATCTGGGCATCCATTACATCTCACTAGGCCAATGTTACAGGCTGATGCCTTACATTTCTGTTTAAAATATCAGTTTTTATTATTATTTCATAAAATAATGCATTTTTCAAAAGCTAAGTTCAGTTTGCCACCTTTAAGCCATAATAACAAATATCAAAAGAAAGAGGCTTGATATATCTCACTCTAAACTTTTACAATTTTTTACTATCTTAGATCAAACTAGGCTCACATTTCTATATTAATAATCCTTTGTATGCCAACCTAATTTCTGAAAAACAATTTATTTTTTTATTTTTAGTCCACTTTTTGAATTCAGTTGCTGAAATAAATAAGCTTTTTAGTGATATTCTGATTTTCCGGCAATGCATGTGCGAATTAATTTATTTTCTCAAATTGTATGACCTAGTGAGACACAGAATAGTAAAGATTGTGTGGTTTTAAAGACTTTGTCTGACTGGCCTTAAATGTTTGATATACTGGATGGAAAAGGGTTAGGAACTGTCAGATAGAGGCACCGAGGGGAGAAAAGAACATCAATACCTCAACCTCAATAAAAGTCTGAGGTTTTTTTTATTTATGAGATTTCTCTGCCTTATCTTCCACCACCCAGGTCTGGATAAATTGCAACTGTCAAACAGCCCCGCAGACCCCGAATCTGGAAAGCTCTCTGCCAATGGGCATCAGAAAACTCTCTGAAAGGGACGATGGAAAAACACACACACATAACACACACACACACACACACATAACACACACACACACACACACGTAGCTGAGCCACAGGGAGATTTCGACAGTACTGTCTGAGTGCTGAAAGGTGAAAAGGAAAGGAAGGAACTTAATAAACCCAGGCAGTGTCTGACTGTTGCTGCAAATGGAGGCTGAGAGCAATTTACCTTCGTGACATTCCATCCTCTGCGTCTCTGATGGAAGCTGGGACAAAGCCAGGCGGAGACAGGAGTGAAAAAGACTGGCATCAGTGTTCTGACCTTGATGCTAACCTCAACCTCGACTGTGACTTTGAACTACCCATCCCTTTTCTTCTGGGGCATTCTTGCTCCCAGCATTTGACACCTTATTATTTTGTTCTGCAACCCCTCCCTTTGCACTAGCTGTAAGCAGATGATGCATCTTCTGCTTGGTTCCGTTGTATCAAAGTCTTAAATTAGTCTCTGTAACTAGCTGAAATAAATAAAAAAATAAAAAACTGATTAGTTGGAAATGTATTTAACGTTTTTTTTTTAATTCATGTAGGTTTAAAACTGAATACATTTTATTTTTTAATATTTTGAAAAGTGATGCAAGCATGAGAGGTGTGTCAGTTTGTATTTTTTAAATAGAAAAACAATGGAATATGCTTTATGGTTATTCCCACTCCACAGAGCCGGTGCAGAATGCTGCACAGCATCGTGGGCAGGGTTATTGGCATTGCAACCGGTCAGGTCCGGCCATCTCATGTTGTAATCCTGCTGTCATATATATGTTTTTATCTAGCTTTCTACAAGTGGGATTTAACCTTTTTGATGTCTGTTGGTATATGGAAGGATTTTTTTTTCTTTAAAGGTGCTCCAGTTTTGATTTTTGAAAATCAGGAATTGGGAAAGTTTTTGGTAAAGCTAAATCACACTGATCAGAATACTTTTTCTGAAGGGAATATTTTTTTTCTTATTGCTGCACATCTTATATCATTTAATTTTGTTCTTTAAAAAAAAAATACAGAAAACTGTTTGTAAAGGTTGTAATTAAATGTACATAATATTTTGTTTCACACATTTATTCCATTTTTTAATGTAAACAATCCTTTCTTACTGAGCCCATCTAAAGTCTGAATGATTTAGCATTTTTGGAGTATTTTCTTTTTAAGTATATATATTTCTCCTTACAATGTTCACACATGATGTTTAGTACTGCCGCTTAGAGGTACCTATCGCATTGATCTCATCCTTCGCAGCGTTAAAGATAGTAGGTATCTTCTTCTATTGAAAGTGGAAGTCGACAGTTCAAACTAATTGAGGGGCTGTCAAGAACACGATTGTAGTGAGACAATATTTAATAAAAAAAAAAAGTGCAAAAAGAGCAGGTTTGTTTCAGGACCAACATCAGTAGAACACACACGATTTGTATTTGAGTTCACGGAGCACCACAAGCCAGCCAGCTTTCTAGCCAAGAGAACGACTTGGTAACTCAGGCATCCCTCTACATTTTGTTGCAGTGCTGCATAATCTTCTAAACTGTGATTTTTCTTTGTCTTCACAATCACCTCGAATGCCTTATGAAAAACATCTTGTAGGCTGGATGTAATGGTAATTGGTCTTTTTGCACAGCTGCACTGTGATGCTATCTGCACCAACTTTCTGCTTCAAAGCCAGCTGTACCTTCTGATACTTTTCACAGTTCATGTTCATTAAGCAGCTTCACTTCTAAGCACTTTCTTGCATGGTTGAAATGATTCTGTTATCTTAATGAAGAGTGAAAGTTTTTTTTTTCTTTTTTTATGACATAAATGTAAATCTGACTATATGCATTCAAGACTGGAACAAAAATGTACAATTCTCTTTTTTAAACCCGCAACATTATGCTTTAAACAGGAGATTATTATATAAAGGGCAATATTTCTGAATAATAGTGATAATAAAAAATCACTCTATGTTGTGTTCATTTTTTATTTGCTCTAGGATCACACTACCATGTGGATACCAAGGAAAAAAGGGATATTAAGAATTGAATAGCTTTTCTTTAAAAGGATGGCAGTTGAATAAGTTGGTGTTAAGATTGAATTATTTTATGTGTGTAAGCTGTTGTTTAATGGAGCATTAAAGTAAAGTTACAGTTGTGTTGAACTCCCTAAAAAAAAAATGGGCTCTGAAAATTAGTAAGGAAAATAAACAATCACATTTAAATACTGAACCGTGTTTAATTTTAAAGGTGTTTTTGGTTTTACAGTGCACATCTCTGGTGTATATGAATGTGGGTGTTAGGACTTGGAAGTTGTGTGCTGCTGGTGTAGCTTTCATTTCTGTCAGTCTCTGCATGTCATTTTGGGTACATGTTTTGTGAATGTATTTTTTACACTTTCTCAGTTTGATAAATGGTATTTTTGTTGTTTGTGTGTTTCAAAATAAAAGTAAAATGTTTACCAGCTTTTATTCTGTGTGTTATCAGTAGTTACTGCTGTTCAAAAACATACGTAGAAAAAGTAGAAGATTGGATTAGTTCAGGGGTGGAAAGTAGCAAAGTACATTTAGATAATTACTGTACTTTTTTGGACACCACTGTTTTATAGATTTAATGACGTTTCACAAATGTGAGAAACTCAAGGCAGATATCGTTTGTAGTTTATAAATTTATTAAGGCATAAGTTGTTGCCATGTGGCCAAGTTGTTCAGTAGGATGAGTTCTCAAATCTGAGTTGCAGTTTCTTTGTTGTAATAAATTCAACTTTAAACCTATTCCATAGTGAAAGTATGGTGAGAATCAAGACACTCCTGTTTTCTTCACTTTGTTTTTAAATAAGAAATAATATTTCAAATAATTGTGCCATTTTTATGCTGAAGTTCTTAACAAGTGGTGTAGAATTTGGAGCAGGTGGTTCTATGCATCAATTAATCAGGTGGTTTCTGAAAGTTACAAGGATATTTCAAATTACTCTGAAAATTAGAAATGTAGTCTACTGATATAAGAAATACTTTTAAAAACTTATATATTTTCAAAAGTGAATGCTTCGATGCTTTAAATGGAGTAGATGTTTGACCGAGTAACTTTTACTTGTGGTGGAATAAGATTTGACTAGGAGTATCAATACTTTCACTCAAGTACTTTGCAGGGGAGTGGCGGCTTAGTGGTTGGGGCATAGAGGTTGGAATCCTGAGGTTCTGAGTTCAAGCCCCACTCCCACAGACTGCGACTCTGGGTCCCTGAGCAAAGACCCTTTACCTCTAACTGCTCCCGGGCACCACACAATGGCAGCCTATTCCTCTCCAAGGGGATGGGTTAAATACAGAGAGTTAATTTGTTGCTCTGAACTTGTGACAGTTTAATGAAAATAAAAGCTGGGGTTGGAAGGTACTATAGAGTACTTTGTCCACCACTGGACTAGTAAGGCTAAGTTTAATAAAGACACAGTGCTGAGCTCAAGTTTGAGGCTCCTGATCAGTTTTCCTGCAGACAAACCACCTCTTACTCATGTATTTGCATGTAATTATTGCAGATTGATTTACTTTACCTGGAAGTTAGAACTTTTAGATTAATTATTAAAACAAATCATAGAAACTCACATCAAATTTAATTTGAATAGTGCTTTATATATATATATATATATATATATATATATATTTTTTTTGAATACTGTAATAATCCCAGAGGGAAATTACTTCTCTGCATTTAACCCATCCCCTTGGGGAGCAGTGGGCTGCCATTGTGAGGCACCTAGGGGGTGTGAGGTTAAGGGTCTTGCTCAGGGCCCCAGAGTGGCAGTCTGTGGGAGTGGGGCAGGCATCCCCAAAGTTGGTCCTCGAGGGCCGCAGTCCTGCAGGTTTTAGAGGTTTCCCTGCTTTAGCACAGCTGATTATAATGATTGCAGTAGAGCAAAAGCCTGTTAATCAGCTTTCAATTAAAATCAGGTGTGCTGGAGCAAGGAAACCTCTAAAACCTGCAGGACAGCGGCCCTCGAGGACCGACTTTGGGGATGCCTGGAGTGGGGGATTGAACTCACAATTGTCTTTTTTCCAGTTGACTAGTTCATCTCATAAAATATAGATTGATCTCAGTGTTGTGCCTGTTAGATGCTTTATATAGTCGTATACCCGACTTCCCCTATATTAGACAACAGTAAGGATTGGGCTCCAGCTAATGAGCAAAACACAAAAATGCCACATACTAAATATTTTAAGATGGCATTTATTGCAATTAAGGCACATTTTCTACACTGTTCTCAATAATCATGCGGTTAGTATGTAAAATCTTTAGCATGCGGGGACATAAAGACTAGAGGTTTACTTCTGTAATATTACAAAATATTTAAATGTTCAATTTAATAATCTCTTCTGCAGGTTTAATTTTGCTTGGAAACGTGGGATAGCCCAACCAATGATTAACAAGTGGCTGCTTCCTGTATTTAGTGGCCAGTGTATTCTGCTGTAAAATCTTTCATAGCGAGTTGCTCTCCACTTAATTGAATTTGCACCCATGCAAAAGTGTGCGAGGTAAGTGTTGAAAGCGCGTTCTCCATTTGAGGCTTCATGTCAAGGTTGAGCCACTCCTGCCTCGTGCTTAACCTTTTCACACCAGATAAAGAAAAATAAAGCCTTTTTTTTTTTTTTTTTTGCACACACCCAGGTCCCCTGAATAGGGAAACAACACGGCTGGTAAAGAAAGCCTACAATGAGACCTTAAGGAACAGCAAATCTTAATGTCTTTTCAGCTCCACGGTGGCAGTCAAGCCTATGAATAAAAGTCTGCTGTGCATTATCGGACTTTCTTATGTGTTTAGTAAACAAAAGATGACTACTCCCACGTATCCACATTCACATTTTAAAGTGACTGATCACATCTATAGAGATCTGTACTCTTTATAAAGCAGCTTTGATGCTCTTGTCCCATTTCAAGCTTTAACATGTCAGGAGGAAGGCAAGGCTGAAAGAAGAATCAAACCAGGATTAGACCTTTTTATTCATCCTGCATGATGACCAACTATGTGTTGTTTCCGACCGGGCTCTGCAGTCGCTCCCACTCGTTCTCCTGAGGACCTGAGATGCCTTTTCTCTCCAGCTGTTTGAAGACTCGTCTGCTTGATGACAGCGAACGGTCGATATCACTCAGAAAACCCTCCATGTCGGTGTGACAGTATCGGACAAAGCTGTCATTCAGTTCCTGCAGCTAATTAGAAAAACCATTTTAGTGGCACAAAGGATGTGAGTGTTTCATTCAGATGCACAATAGAACTGTTTTCAGCTATGCTTAATTGTGAGTTTATTGTAATGGCTGAGGCATTCTGACAGGTTGTAGTTGTTAAGCAGCCAGATCAATACTGTCATCTCTCTGAATAACATGAAGAATTAATGGAGACAAGTAAAAAATATATATCACTGTTAAGCAATTCAACACTTCGCTCAGGGTTTATTTATATTCATTCACATACAGTACTTTTTTACCATGATTTTTACTAAATTGTAAAAAAAAAAAAAAATGCTCTAAAATAACATACATGCAGTCAAAAACTTTCCAAGTTTATATGACTATAGAAAATAGAGCTGTTATGGGTAGGCCTGACAGGCAAAAGGATAAAGCATAATAAAACATTTGACTCTCAGTTGTGCTAATATTGCAGGGAATGTGAGTTGTCGACAGTTGGTATTTTTTAAAATAAAATATTAACTTGAGAGTGAGGCTTCTTTTATAAGCAGTTCAAGTGAATTCCCTTTATCAACTAGTTAGTTTAGATGTCATAGTTGCACATCTCACAATATGCATACAGTATGAGAAGATATATTTTTAACTACAAAACTATCTTCATAGGAAAAAAAGTTAAACATGAATTTTATATTATTTTATTCTGGAGGGTTTGTTGGTGTAATATCACAATAACAGATATTCTCTTTCTGTATGTATCCGCATAGGAGCAATTCTTGGAGTAAAAATATTTAACTGTCACTACACAACTCGGTAGGCTTGCAAAATTTAAATTTGTTCTCCTTTGACACACACAAATACTCTCTTTTAAGCGTAAGTCACAGACCCATCAGAATTGCTTTACAGCTTTGCTTTTATCACTAATTAAACAACATTTAACCATTCAAATGGAGGGTTTTATGTTGCTGGCTGTCAGGGCAAACGGCACAGCCTGAGGTGAACTTTGCCTTGTTCCACTTTAGACGTGGATGAGAGAAATGGGGAAGCAGGGGGTGGGACCAGAGGCGTTATCTCTCTGCAATCCATCTATGTGTCCGTACTGTCTTGCTTAATGTGTTGACTCAGGGTCGGACCTCTGTAGCTGAGCAAAAATTGAAAGCTGTGCATTGGAATAGCTGATAAGAATACCGAAGCTGGCCTTATAGGTA